CTCCCAATTAAAATATTTGGGAGTTACATAAGAATGACTAATGACCTAAATACCCTTATCATTAATATGTAAGTTACATTTTAACCAAACCCAAAGATGCAACATTATTGGTTGATGTGGGTTAGCAAAGTTTGCACAAAATATTGGGTTAGTATTTGAACCACCCTCTATATATATATATATATAAGATTGGGTTCACTTGAGACCAATGATTTTTTGTGAGACCCATAAGATCAATTTATGTTCATTGATCAACTTTATAAGCTAATGATCTAATGGTATAAAGTTGTATGGTGACAATTTTATGATTATTGAAAAGTCATGTAGCAATTTCGTGATTATAAATGTTCAGATTGTAAATTTAATCTAAAAGTTGAAAACTGATTTTACAGTTCTCAACAAAAAAAAATAGTTGATGATTCCAAATCCATATAAATATAATATAATAAAAGTAATTAGAAAATAAAATTGGTCCAAATATTATGATTTATGCATACAAGAAGACAAAACCCCACCGGATTCAGAGCCGTCCTTTGCCTCTTTAAATACCCACAACTCCTCAACACTTAAAACCCCTGCAAATCTCCCCTCTTGTCTCCACACATACAAATAGAGTAAAAGAAACATGTGCCAGCAAAATTCATCGCCTCCATTTCTCAAATGCAATTCAACCCAAAAACAATCCCATATCTTCAATCCTTTGATCCCCAGAACACCATTTCTTGATGTCAATCCCCACAAATCCCATCTTTCTTTAGCCATCAACGAAACCATTGCCATCGCCCAAATTGCAATTCCGATGATCCTCACCGGACTCTTAATGTACTCCCGTTCCATGATCTCCATGCTCTTCCTTGGCCACCTCGGTGAGCTCCCCCTCGCCGGCGGTTCACTAGCCATTGGCTTTGCCAACATCACCGGCTACTCCATTCTTTCCGGCCTTGCCATGGGAATGGAACCCATTTGCGGCCAAGCTTTTGGTGCCGGAAAACGCACCCTTCTTGGTCTCTGTTTACAGAGAACCATTCTTCTTTTACTCTTCACTTCATTCCCCATATCTCTTTTATGGTTTAATATGAAAAAGATGTTGCTTTTTTGTGGCCAAGATGACGAAATCGCAACAATGGCACAAACTTATCTTCTCTACTCCCTTCCTGACCTCTTGGCTCAATCTCTGTTACACCCATTACGAATTTACCTTCGTTCGCAATCGATTACTCTGCCGCTGACATTTTGTGCATCTCTTTCGATTGTTTTTCACATACCCATTAATTACTTTCTTGTTACGAAGCTTGGATTAGGGATTAAAGGTGTTGCAATCAGCAGTGTTTGGACGAATTTCAACTTAGTAGCTTCATTGATCATTTACATATTGATTTCTGGGGTTTATAAGCAAACATGGGGAGGTCTATCGAAAGAATGTTTTAAAGGATGGAATTCGCTTTTGAATTTGGCGGTTCCGAGTTGCATTTCGGTTTGTCTCGAATGGTGGTGGTACGAGATCATGATTTTGCTATGTGGTTTACTGGTGAATCCCAGAGCCACCGTGGCTTCAATGGGGATTTTGATTCAAACCACCGCGTTGATTTATATATTTCCGTCGTCTCTGAGTTTCAGTGTGTCGACTCGGGTTGGTAACGAGTTAGGAGCAGGTCGACCCGCCAAGGCGAAGCTGGCAGCCATTGTTGGACTCTGTTGTAGCTTCGTTTTGGGTTTTTCTGCTCTGTTCTTCGCCGCCGGCGTGAGAAACTTATGGGCTATCATGTTCACTCAAGATAAAGAAATCATAGCATTGACGTCGTTGGTTTTACCGATCATCGGACTTTGCGAACTGGGCAACTGCCCGCAGACGACAGGGTGCGGCGTTTTGAGAGGGACGGCACGGCCGAGAATAGGGGCGAATATTAATCTGGGATGTTTTTATCTGGTGGGAATGCCGGTGGCGGTGGTGTTAGGATTCTTTCTGGGATTTGATTTCGAAGGTCTGTGGTTGGGGATGCTGGCGGCGCAGATGTCTTGCGTGGTGACGATGGTGGTGGTGTTGGGGTGGACCGATTGGGAGGTTGAAGCTGAGAGAGCGAAAGAGCTAACAGACGGCGGCGGGAATGGTGGTGGTGGCGGCGATGATGATGATGACAGCGAAGAAACTAAGGGGGAGAAGTATAAGCTAATCAAAGCTGCAAACAAGGAGGAAGAATCTATGGGTTTAGGGGATGATTTAGTTTAATATTTCCATGGTATTTTAGGAATTTTTTTAAATTATTTTTTAGTTTTTTTTTTTAATCAAATAACTTTACTTAGTGTCTTGTATAGAAGAGAATGGTGTGCCGTGGGAGTAGGAGGCATAATTTTCTATCATCTTTCTGATGTTTATCACCAAGAGTCTTTCATTACAAAATGTTTACAATGTTATATTTATTTACGGGTAAAAGTTATTATTATTATTTTTTTAACAATAAGGGTGGTGTCTGATTGGTTTGAACTTGACTTAAAAGGTTAAAAGTAAAAAGAGGTCTCAGGTTCAAGTCTAAGAAGAAATAAAAATCTCTTTGTGGCCACAGAGGTTCAAATGCGGTGACTTCGGACTATCTGCAAAGCAGATGGTCGTCCTGAGATTGGTCGGCTCGTTTAGCGGATTGGATATCCAAGTTAATAAAAAAAGTCCTTAATTTTATTAGGTAATATTTGTTTGATCTACAAAATAGAATTATCGGTCTTTGTTATGTTTTTTACCAACTAAAGTTTTTGGTACTTTTATTTTATCCAGTAAAATAAGTGACATATCTGATAAACGGTTTTGATGTATCATATATTTAAAAATTTTGTTAAATGGAAATAAACTATTACTAATATCTTGGGTTGGATAATTTTAAAAATTTGGGTTGACTTTTGTATTTACCCATAAATAAATATTGCAAATTGTTGATGGTATACAACTTATAAGTGACATTTTCTTAATTTTAGACTTACGATAGTATTTTCATTTATTTAATTAATATAAAAATATTTGTTGGATAAGGAATGTTGTTCATTTAAAAATCGGAAATATAAATTATTAAAAATGATTAATAAATAACACTTGTGGAAAAAAAATTGAATTCTAGATTCTAAGTAATCATTCATAGATAATAAGAGTAGATTTAAAATTAAATAGAGGGTATTTTCTTTTAAGAAATCATATCATTATGATAATTTTGAGAATTAGTGTATCGTAGGATGTTTTACATATACGGTTTGAATTTAGTATATTAATTAACATATTTATTTTACAATATGAACATTATTTATGTGTCTGTGAAACAAAAAATACAAACCAAGAACTTTCACATTGTTAACTGGTAGCGTGGAATCATTCGTGTTCACACAGTGGGCACGAAGTCCCCAACAGTGGCGGTGTAAGTGCATGCCGACACTATGATTGCTTGTAAGTAATAGAGTGGTAAAGTACCAAGATCGTTTCCATATGGATTGAACTACTGAGAATCAGAGAATTTCATGAACTTATTGAGCATGCTTCGGTTTGTAAATAAAAGTTGGATTTTTGTTTGAAAAGCTTTAAAAGATAAAATAGACTTATAAATAAAAGATGGGCATGAGTGTAAGTATTCTTTAAGATAAAAACAATAATATAATGGTCAGAAACTTATGAGATATTTATAAAAATTCCAATCTCTCGAAAGTGAAGATTTGTAGACAGATCCCACAAAGTTCTCACTCTCACCACTCCAAAGCTTGTTGATTTAGCTTAAAAGAAAAAAGAATAAAATTCATTCTCAAATCTCTTTGTAATACAAATTTCTAATTCTTGAACCTTAGCTAAATACATAAAAAATTCGTAACTCTACGGAATTATCAAAGACTTTCTCAAATCTTTGTGCATCACTTAAATTTCGAATCGGCCCATCTCTGGATCAAAGATCTAATATTAACACTTCAAAGTGATTGGTTTATTCGCATTGAGTTTTAATCCCGACTTAAGTGACCAAGTTTACGAAGTGATAAAGAATAAAAGCACTCAAATGTTGCATAAAAGTCCTAAATGAACTCACACCCATACCCATAGAAGTAATTGGCTCATAACAGACATGGAAAACATAATATGAGACAAGAAATAAAACTTAAATGAAACTTTCATTAAAATAAAACAAAAGTCTGTTGCCTACAACGATGAATCTATGGGCAACAGATTACAATTAAGAAGCTTAATACAAGAAAATTGCATGCTAAGACTTAACTTAAGAGTAAAATGTGGAGAGACTTCAGTTGAATTGGGATGATCTTCAAAATAACTCAAAGCTTCTTTATATAGGGAAAGAAAGGATAAAAGGATGACTATCATTATGCAAAGGAAATGAGCCCTTCAAATATTTTGTGGTTAAAAAGTCATCCTACCTCCTTTTATCCAAAACTCAAACTTCAAAAGGTAGTTCCAACTGTAGACAATCTTTTAGAAAAATCTTCAAAAAAACTCCCTTCGAAAAGTTGATCCTTATCCATAAATCCGGAATCTTCCCACTATGGGCACAGTCTTAAAACGATGTTTTTCAGAATAAATTATCATTATTTGTGTTTCATCATCTTTTTAAAACTTTTAGAATAAACAGAAAAAAAAAAAAAAAAAAATTGGGTGTTTAAAAGATGTAAAAACGTGAAAAATAAATAAGAAACAACTCTAAAAAATAAGAGTTATCATTAATCGAACACATATGAAAAAATAGACTGTAAACAAATAAATATTATTCAACGCGTTAAATTTTAGCCCGGGATAGAAAAAAATCATGTAAAACAACACCTTGAAATAATAATAGTTATTACTATGAAACTTTTTAATAATTAAAACCCATCAAATAGATTATTTAATTAAAATGGATATGCATGTTTAGATATTCATTTATGCTCTAACTTAAAACACCTTAAATAACTAAAAGAAACAAAAAGAAATTTTTTTAAACTATAAATCTTGTTCAATAGCGTACAATGACTATTAAATGTAGATTAATTAATTTATTTTGGCTACTAATGCTTGATATACTTTCGTAATTAAATAAACATTATTTAATTATTTAAATATATATATATATATAGAGAGAGAGAGAGAGAGAAAGAAGGGATGATAATCAAATGAGAACCACAGATATATTTCAAGTCTCTGAAAACTAATATAAATATATATATATATATATATTTTATTTGATAACCAGGTTATTTGTTTTGAAAAGTTTTGGGTTGTTTTAAAATAAGTTTGAATAATGAGAGGTGTGTTTTGAAAAATTAGTTTTTAAACATATAAATCACACCGCCTCTTATTTAAAAATTGGTATATGTGTGATATTTTGGTTTTCTTCTTGGGTGGTGTGGAGATAAAAGAAACAAAAGTTGAGAAGCCATTTTATGCTCTTTGGTTCGAAACAAAAACGGAAGAAGAAGAAGTACTACTTGCATGATTATTATCTGAATTTTTGTTGTTGTTTAACTTATTCATCTATTGTGATTTTTCTTATAAGGTGAGTTTTAATTTAGAAGCATCATTTGATTTGCTTTTGGTGAAGAAACCGTATGATTTCCTGTTTATATAGTGGGGTGTTTTTGAAATTGATTATATGTTATTTTTAGCATAATTTGGTGTTATGATATGTTATTATCAACTGGTTGGAATAAGGGTGACATAATCAGGATAAATGTATTTTGGGATAATGGTGGCATAATCAGGAGATATGTATACTGAGATAAGGGTGGCATAATCGGAAGAGACGTATATTGGATAAGGATGACAAAATCAATTGTATGTTAAAGATGAGATTTTGATCATGCGAAGTACTGTTTTCTCATCTCCATGATGCGATGAATTTAGTTTATCGCATCTATATGATGCAATGAGATGGTATTATCGCATCTATATGATGCGATGAGATGGTATTATCGCATCCTTATGATGCGAGAAAAATGTTTATCGCACCAGCGTGATGCGAGGAACAAGGTTTATCGCATTAAGGTGATGCAAGAAAAGTGAATATCGCATCCTTGAGATGCGACAAATGGAGGTTATCGCATATGTGAGATGCGACAAGTATGGTTATCGAATGCATATGATGCGACAAAAAATGTGTTATCGCATCAATGAGATACGACAAGTTGGTGTGTTATGTATTGATACGACAAGTTTGATACTTCAATGGATTTGATGTGATAAGATGATGTTATCTCATCTATACAATGTGACAAGAAGGTTTGTTTAAATAAAAACATTGTTTATTTGTTATTAATACAAATATGAGCTTTCAAATAATGTTTTGATGATTTTCACCCTATAATACCAATCAAAAAGGGATTTCTCGTTATACCTTATGGTCTAACCCTCAATTTGTTTTAAAAATGTGCATTAAAGGTCAAACACATGTGAAGAGTAAGTGGAAAGGAGAAATGTGAAAAAAGTTATGATTGCTTTATATCCGGGAATTTTGGAAGCTATTATTGTACATGTACTTGGTGTAAAATTGAAAAAAGTTTGTAGCTACTTTTATAATGTAGTAATTTGTACATTTGAGACCAATGTGTATATTTGTAGTTCATGTTACATGAAATATGTGGATTATATGCAGATATGGAATGGAGTGTTACATTTTACATGATTTTTTTCATCAAAATCTATGATTTAAAATATTGTTTCACATATGTTTGTATTCATCTTATTCCAAAATATTCACATGGTGAAACAAACAAATACATGTAAAAATATCATATTATGGAACAAACATATGTGAAGCAACATCTTAAATCCAAACATCATGTAAAAGAATATTTTTATTGATTGGTTCTCACGGGTTTGTAACATAATTTGATTTAAAGAACCAATGAAAATTTTGATAACCTTGAGAACAATGCAACAATGCATCATTGATAATTCATATGCTTTTTTCATCTAAGAGTAAGATTAAAATATCGATTAACATATATTGTTGTGAAACCTTTTTAGCCTGTTTGTGAAACAAAAGTTACATGTAAAAAAACCACATACCTATGAAGTAAACACACTGTGAAACAAATATATGTTCATCAATACATAAATTTGTTAGTCTAAGATGAAAAAAAACATGTGAAACAACATCTTAAGATAATAGCTCCCACGATTATCACAATATATGGAGTTCTCAAATGATTAAGCTCCTAAGATTGAGTTCACGTGAGACCAACATGTTTTCATGAGACCAAAAAATAACACTGAATGACTGAAACTTCACAATGAAAAACACCGAAA